GGCTGGGATGGTTAAGGTTATGCGTTAACTATGCTGGTCCATGATTCTCAATGTTTGGCAGTTACATAGCAATGTAGTTTGGCAGTTACGTAATGATGTAACTTGGCAGTCATGTAACAATGTATTTGGGCAGTTGTGTAAGGATATCATTTGACCGTTGTGTAATGATGTAATCTGGCAGTTGTGTAGTGATGAGTCATCCTCCTTTTTCTGATCTGATGTTGTCATTCTCCATTTTCACATAACAACCTGATCTTTGGAATATCGTAGTGGTGGTAGTCATGTACCATGGAGTTCCAACTCACAGTGACCCTGCATAGAGTTACTGAGGCTATAGATCTTTACGGGAGCAGAAAGCCTCATCTTTCGCCCATGAAATATCTTGTAGTTTTGAACTGCTAACTTTGCAGTTAGCTGCCTAACTCATAACCACTATGCTACCAGAGCGCCATGAAACACAGCCATGTAGATAATTGAGTAGTAGATGTATATGACAGTTAAGTCAAAAAGTATTGCTACTAGGATTCTAGTTCACACATACATGGGTTTATTCCAAACAAAGTACATTTAAGCATGTCTATGTGATCAGTGGATGGCTATGAACAAGTTCTCTTGGTAATAAATTTGTCTTAGTCTCATTAGGATATCTTTAAAAAAAAAAAAAAAAAAAAAAAAATACAGTCAAAACAATGACTTCCGAGAGGATCTATGGGGCCAATTAAATTCAAGGCAGAGAGGTCAGCTCTGAAGATTATGGGGACTGTCTTGACGAATCCTACAGAAGTGATTTTGATAGATTTTCTGAGAAGACATACGACAATCTTGGGGGTTTACTAGGGAGTAGTTTTAAGAAAATAGAAAAGTGCATTGGTGAGAAAAAGGCCAGTAAAATTGTGCTGAAGAATTTTTTTCCATTACAATGCACTTGCAGACTCATTCTTCAGGGGAAACAAGGGCTGTCCTAGGAAAATTTCATTGGGAAACCTTTTCCCATCAATGCTACAGCCCCAATCTTATCCCGTGAGAGTTTTTTTTAATTCTCAAAATTCAAAGAACATTTAAAAAGAACAGTTTGAGTCCCTTGAGGATACCAAAACTGCCAATTTGATGACGTGCAAATCAAGGATGGCCGAATTATTCAGGAAACAGAAAGATGGAAACACCACCTTCAAAAGTGCATAGATCTATATGGAGGAGATGTCAAAAACAATAGCTTCACATTTTGGTATTTCTGTTTAATAATAGTTTCTATGATTTTTTTTAGCAGTATTTTATTTACCCTCATATATGTAGTATAACAAAGTCATATACACAGAACATTAAAATAATGTACCTTTCAATGTTATGCTTAATTTTAAATCAATCTGCTAAGAAAATAAACATTTAAATATTTAACAAAAATTGTTTACCTTCTGAAAATTTAGATAGAACTTTATGTGTATACATGAAGTAGACAAGGGAATGGTGGTTGACAGACAAGAGATCTACATAGGCCACTTCATTTTTAATATGGGCCACTGTACTTAAAAAAAAAAAAAAAAACAGAGGAAAAGTTTAGATTAATCATATTCTTTTACTAACTCTCCCATTAAAACATTCAGTTATACAGAGGGACCTCAAAAAGTTCATGGAAAAATTGAACTAAAAGATAAGAATAAAAATATAAACTTCATTTCTGAACATGATCTCCACCAAGGCTGAGACACTTTTGTAAGTGATAATGCTAGCCATTTAGTCCATCCTTAAAGAACTGAGGCCCACTGAATAGTTTTCATCTTGTCTAGATGGGTCTGGTGAAAAGAGGAAAAGAGATAGGGATAAGATTCTTATGATTCAATAGTGAGTAATTGTTATCATGAGTAATTGTGACTGTCACAATTGTAAAGGTAGAAGTTTTGTTAAAAAAAAAAAAGGTGTTTGGGGGGGGGAGTAGTTAATCTTACATTCCAGAATAAAGGACCCTAGTACCATCAAGGGACGAGAAGAGCACCAGCGGAATGCTAGACCTTATCCAGAAAAGCAGTGACACCACAGATGGAGGCAGAGGTGGGGACATGAAAAGAGGGAGCAGCTGAGGACTCTAGATTCATGGAAAGAGAGTGACTGAGAGCTAGCAGCCAGGAGGCAGACTTGCAGAATGTGCCCTTTGGTGGTTTAAATTATTATATATGGCTGAGTTAAAAAAAAAAAAAAAAAAAGAGCTAAAATGAATAGAGAGAAATACTGTTAACTGATGGTACGTGGAGGGGATTATAATCATTGTAATGAAACAAGGTGTATGATTTGTTGACTGTAAAACTGATCATCTGCCCTGTAAACTTTCACTCAATCCACAATAAAAAACTTAAAAAAAAGAACTGAGGGTCCTGGGAAATTAACAATGCCAATGCAGGTTTATTCACATTATGAAATGGAGAAAAATGAGTGCCCTTAAAAAACAGTTGCTAACATTATTAAACAAAAAGAAGTCAGAAGGAGCTAAATCAGGACTGTAAGTTGGATGCCTAATGATTTCCCATAGAATTCTCTTCAAAATTGCCTTTGTAATGAAATGATGAATGTAAAACTGATGTTCTCCCATGTAAACTATCACTCAATTCACAATAAAAACTTTAAAAAAAAAATGTCTTTGATGAGAGAAATGAGTAGCAGCACTGTCGTGGTGACGAAGGACTCTCTTGTGACACTTTCCCACGTGTTTTTCTGCTAAAGCTTTGGTTAACTTTCTCAAAACACTTTCATAATAAGCAGATTTCACAAGGGGCTCAAGCATAGCAGCAATTGTGAGGCTGGCACAGGACCAGGGAGTGTTTTGTTCTGTTCTACATAGGGTATCTATGGGGCAGAACTGACTCAATGTCACCTAACAGCAACAACATCTTTCCTTGGCCCTCCAGAAAATCAACAAGCAATGCCTTGAGAATCCTCAAAAGCTTTAGTCAGAACTTTTGTTCTTGACCAAACTTTTGATTTGGCTGAACCAATTATACCTCTTGATAGCCATTGCTTTGATTGTACTCATAAAAACCATATTTTTATCTCCTGTTACATTCCTTGAAGAAACACTTCAGGATCTGGATCCCACTTGTTTAAAATTTCCATTGAAAGCTCTGTTGTTGTCTGTAGCTGACCTGGGTGTAACAGTTTTGGCACCCATTAAGCAGAAAGTTTGCTCAACTTTAATTTTTCAGTCAGAATTCTGTAAGCTGAACCAGTTGAAATGATGATGTAGGCTATTGAGTCAGCTGTTAATTGACAGTTCTCTTCAATTAGGACATGAACAAGATTAATTTTTTCCTTGCAAATTGATGTGGATGGTCTGTCACTGTGGGTTTCATCTTTAACATCATCTCATCCCTTCTTAAAATGAGTTATCTATTTGCTAACTCTTGATTTCTTTGGGGTATTGTATCCATAAACTTTCATAAAGCACCAATGAATTCACTTTCAACATAAATTTGATGTTTGCTCTTCAATTTTAATGGAATTTATGTTACTCGGTCAAGGGATCTTTTCAAACTGATGTCTTATCCATTTTAATGCCTCAGATTAGATCTTGTTCACATTAACACATTAGTACACATTTATTTTGGTGGAAAAAAAATTGAAATCCATGCAAAGTTTTTTGAATAATATGTATCCTCCATGAACTTTTTAAAGATCCCTCATAAATGAATTGAGACCATTCTGTTATAAAGTGAGCAAACAAGTATTATGAGCATTTTAAAATTAGAAATTATTAAAAACTTCAATAGCTTTTAAAAAGTAGTCTTTTAAGAATTAATAAGCAGAAGATTAAAAACTATGTAGAGAAAGAGCAAGAATAAGAAACAAGAGAGACAGACAGACACACACTGATAACATAAAAGTAAGTTTGAAAACAGCAGCCTGTGGGGAATAAAGAGTAAGGGGTTTGGCAGCAGTCATCATACCTTCTTTGCCATGGTATTGTGGTTGTTGCTGTTAAGTGCCGTCGAGTCAGTACTGACTCATAGTGACCCTGTATAGGGTTTTAAAGGAGTTGCTGGTGAGCTTGAACCGCTGACCTTGCCGTTCAAACCAACCTTGCAGTCCAATACATTAACCCACAGCATCACACAGACTGAAAATAAAGACATTATATGCTGCCTTGACAAATGATAACTTCAGAAGGGCTTCAAAAGACCTAATCACAAATTCCCCCTCCCCAGGCTGCTCCTTCAGATAAGGTCCCCCAGCCAAACCACCCTCATCAAGATAACAGGTACAGTTCCTGATTTCCCTGCATACATAGAAGGCTTTAGTTCCCATTCAGCCAGCAGAAATATTCAAACAAGCCAATCACATTCTCCCATAGAAAGCACCCTACCCTGCCTCCTACAAAGCCTGTTTCCTTTAGTCTCTGGTTGGTCACTCTGTTCCTAAGTGCAACCCTCATGTGGTCCCCTTGCTCGGGAAGGACTTCTGTTCTAAGAACAGCAGTGTCCTCCTCTCTTGGGTTGTGAGTACATGGGACTAATGAACTGTTGTTGATTCCATCTGTCCAGTGTTGGGTATTATGTGTCTGGCCATCTCTATAACTCTAGAGCAGAAGTCCCTCTCTTGCAAGGTGATTAAAACAGTACTGATGGAGAGGTTAAAGGACTGGCCATGTGGACATGACTCAAAACTTTAGTTGTTATTTTTATCATTTGCCTTTCTTTCCCCCTCTTCCTCCTTTTTGTGTTATATTGTCCAGCATCACAGTATGGGTGTCCTCTAGAAGAATCAATAAGCAAAAGAAAATGTAATGTCTTCAGGAAGAAGCACATGACTAGTAAGCCTTATGATAGCCCTCAAGTGACAAAGTGACAGAAAGGAAGCAGTGACCCTTCATGCAGATGCAGGTCTCTCTCTGTTCCCAATGAAGAACAGAGATGAGGCAGCAGCCACAGAAGGAAGTGCAAACACCCATGCAGAATGACAGATATCATTAAGACGATCAGCCCCAGCACTTCTTTGCCAAACCTTAATTCATTTACCTTTTCCTGAAGCCTAAGGTTATCCCACACCTTGTTGCAAACCATGCACTCAAATGCATCAATATAATTGTCCTGGTTGATGTCTTGCACTCCCCATTGCCGTTCCCTCAGAGCTGTGAGGAGTTGCTGATTAGAGATCTCACCATTCAGCTTCCATTCTATGTAGGCTTCATACAGTCTGTCATCAGAATCCAGTTGTCTAATGTAACTTGCCAGATCTCTGGGGTGAGAAAACTCTGATACAAGAATAGCACTTCTGTTACTTGGAAGCCAATCTGTGATGGTGGGGGATCCATAATACACAGGAACTACACCCAGCTTCAGTGGTCTCCAGAACTTCTCCGTGATGTAGTCATCACAAACTGCATTCTCAAAAGCAAGGATAAACTTATACTGTGCAATGATCCTATAAAAACCATCCGTATCCATGGAGGCTGGATTTTTCAGTGGCTGGGGGAGATCTTTATTTCGCAAACATTCACCATAGGAATCAACTTTAATGTAGGTCATGAGCTCCCGAACATAGCTGTCCCTATCTGATGGTGGGTCACAGTCTGACTGAACATATACCAGTGGAGCAAGTCTTTGTCGAAGGTTGTTTTTGGACCGCAAAGGAACGAGGTATCTGAGTGACTTCAGGACTTCTATGCCTTCCAAGTACTGGGTAGTTAGTGGCAAATGGGAGTGCCTGCTGAATGTAGCTGTGTAGTTGAACAAGGTAATGACTGGCTTGTGGAAGAGCTTATAATTGTTTTTTGGAGACTCTTCATGAAAAAGGGCCCACTCATGATGGGCTTTCCGAGGCAGGGGTAAGCTATCTATATTAAAATCAGTACCTAGGAAAAGAAAAATATATATATATTAGTATGTCCAAAAATTTTTTTGGTGTCTAAATTTTTAGTCCATCTGGCAAGATTAGAACAGAGAAACATTCTGGGCTATAAATAAGAAAGCACATCACAATGTTGCTGCTAAAGCCTAGCTGTCAATTATGAGTTTCTCACCTCAGAACCTGCTAATAAAGAGTATAACCAAGTGAAGTGACTTCCTTTCTCATTTTTTGAGAAAGGAAATGAGAGCAGTAGTGTCTGGCTAGGCTTTAAAAGGAGAATTTGTTTCACTGTCTCTCACAATGGACTTTTCCTTCCAGAGGTATCGTCTAAGAGAAGACAGGAGAAATCATGATAATGATAGACAGTTCTTAAGAAAGAAAAGAAGAGCAAGAGAAAGGAAGGCAAAGGAAAAAAAAAAGTAAAAGCAACCAGGCTGCCAGGTTGATTCATTGAAACACAGTGAAATAATGGAAAAAGCAACCAGAAGAAATATACAGGATAGATTTTTTTTAAATCCAAAATGATCGATTTCAACAAAGAACAGTTAATCAATCTTAGTCAAAAGTAGACAAGAGGCTTTTAAAGACAAAAGAGCTGATAATAGCACTATGTTACAAGCCAGTGCGGGATGGATATGAATTAACAAGCACATCAAGAAATAGAGAAAGTATAACAGGATTATAATTATGAGGGATTTTCACTTCCAGGGGATTAAGACCTTTGAAACATGGTTAATGTGCAGACAGAAATGATGGATGTGGTGAGCAATTGTTTCCTGACCACATGGGTAGAGATCTAATCAGGAAGAATTAATTTCTATAACTGAGGGGGGGAAAAAAATACAATATCATAATACATATGTAGAATTTCTAAAATGTTCCTGACAGTCATGATTTTGTTGCTCTTAATTTGAATTTGTAATATATACATATATATATATAAACACAAAATAAAATCTATCTTCTAGCACCTACGGAAAAAAAAAGCACACACGAAAATATTCCCAACTAAAGAAAATATAAAGAGAATAACAGAGTTCATAAAAATGAATTATTTAATGCCAGAACATACTCAGTCAAATAAATATAAACTCTTTGGTGCCAACAGTACATCAATGAGAAATCAATTAATCAAGAGAGGCTTTTAAACAATTAAAGATCTGGTAAGGTTAGGTTTGAGTGCATGTTCTAAGCACTAAGAAACTGCTGAATTATCTCCCTTTATCTTTACAACAGGCTGATATTCCCAATATCGGCAATGAATCACTAATACATAAAAATGTATATATATTTGTCTACTTGGCATTTGTTATTTTAACCTCTAGCATCAAAAAGAATATTCATCTACACACCTAAAATTTCATAACATATGTAGGAGATGGTTGGCAAAGGTTAATAACCATTAATATAGAGAAACATAAAGACATGAAAGAATTTGAAAAGACAATCCATCACATTGAAGTGGTTGCTGCTCAAAAAGGGTCTATGCTGGTCGAGTGGACAATGATGGGAAGTGAAATCTAAAATATAGCTTCAACATAAAGTGCCTACGGCATAAAAGAAAATCAAGGTCATTTACCAGGGAAAGCAAGGACCAGAGTCCAACCCATAGTAGTCAGAGGCAGTGATCAAATTTATGAGACTGAATACTGTAGGAGATTAGATTAAAACAAAAGTAGACCCAAAACCAACTGGGAAGATCAGACATAGGGTTCTTGAGTGGGTGGCCCAAACACTAGTGGCAGTTGGTTGAAAATCATTATGTGGCACATGTGGTGGTGGTGGTTGTTGTTGTTGTTAAGTGCTATGGAGTCGGTTCCGACTCATAGCGACCCTGTACAGGGTTTTCAAGGCTGTAAATCTTTACAGGAGTAGAAAGCCTCATCTTTCTCCCACGGAACAGCTGGTAGTTTCGAATTGCTGACCGTGAGATTAGCAGTAATCAGGCTCACCTCGAATGTGTCACAGCAAAGATCCACAATACAGAACAGGAAGGCAAAATACAAAGCCTGCCTGTAGTGTTTCAGAGAATGGAGAAGGCCTGCATTTCATGTCTTCCTGTCTACATCAGTCAAGAGTGTAAAGAATTTTAATGACTGTGTCTAGACTCTTTTGTGGCCTTTATCTAGATCCACACAGTTTGAGTTGGTAATCAGGAGTGGAATTTGAAGTCAATATGCTGTAATGAGCATTTCACTCGTTATAAATAGAGGAAGAGGGCTTATAGGCTCCTTATGGTGGTGGTGGTGGTGGTGTGTCATGAAGTCGGTTCCAACTCGTAGCGACCCTGCATAGGGTTTCCGAGGCTGTAAATCTATACGGGAGCAGAAAGCCTTATCTTTCTCCCACGGAACAGCTGGTAGTTTCAAACTGCTGTCCTTGAGGTTAGCAGTCTGACTCGTAACCACTACACTATCAGAGCTCCTTATAGGCTCCCTATACCTCCTGCCAAGCTGCAGTTGGAACCTTGATGTTGAAAATATAGGAAGAGTAGCAGGAGGCTCCTAACAGTCAAATAAATATAAATATACAACCAAAGTAGTAAAAAACGTCTACAGAACCTAAGCATGAAACATTTATATCCATGTATCAAAGGGAACACACTTGAGTATGAGAATCTTATACATTCACCTGCATTGCATTTAGTTTGCAGGGGTAGGGTTATCATTAATAATAGGAGGATGTCTTTTTTAATAAGTTAAAGGAATCTAGCTCTCCAGAAACATTTCCCATTATTTTCCACCTAAAATAACATGTACTCTTTTTTTTTTTTTTTAACTAAAAAGCTGATAAAGATGGTGAAGTGGCAGGGATTAATGCTCAGTGACCGAAGCCATCCCCTGGACCACCTGGCAGGTATGTGGCAAAGCAAAGACTCCGGGATGGAAACTGGTGGTCATGTACTGTGAGAGCACCAACATTTCTGGCAACTTATATCTAAAAAAAGGAGCTCTGGTAGCATAGTGGTTACAAATCGGGCTGAGAACTGCAAAGTCAGCAGTTCGAAACTACTAGCTGTCCCATGGGAGAAAGATGAGGCTTTCTGCTCTCATAAAGATTTACAGCCTTGGAAACCCTGTACAGGGTTGCTATAAGTCAGAACCGACTCCACAGCACATAACAACAACAATAACATATATAAAATAGTTGAAGTATTTTGCCTTCCTCCTCAAGTGCATGATCACCAAAACTCACTCCCAGGTTCCATGCAGCATCTTCTTGCTGACCATGATATCCTGCTGTCTTACCATGTCAAGTATGAACAGGCTGCCTACTTTAATGCAGATGGTGGTTTCTGCGGCCTTCAAGGTTGTAAATCTGAAGCCTATTCATAATTTTACCTACCTGGGATGCCTGGATCATGAGGTTAGCTAGAAGAACCAGGCAGTGACCACCATCCAGGAAAAGAGGAAGAAAAAAAGCCAAGAGCCGTTACGGAAAGAAATAGCTCATGTTGCTGAGAAACAGGCCAAGAAGAATATGGAGACGCCAATCAACAAATACACAAAGGTCCTCAAGAATCATGAACTCCTAGTCTAAGTCCAGTAAAAGCTGTTAACTCCTCTTCAGGCCTGGCTAGTCGTTTCTCCATTGCTGCCCTGGAATGTAGTGGGGCTGAAGGGGGCATCCATGTCAATGATCCACAGACCACCTGGCTCTAGTGCAAAAAGGGCCTTAGTCAGGTTCTGAGTTCATGACCACAGCTCTTATTTCAGAAAGAACTTTCTTTAATGAGTTTGCAACTACTAACAGCTGTGCAAGAACAATTTGTTTATAGCCTACTTGCTGTTTTACAAAAACAGATAGTAGAAACAAGTGGTTTCAATGATTTTACAAAAAGTGAGCTTGAAAACTAATTGCAGGGAACCTTAAATTGTAAATGGGGCATATGTTGAAAACATCCCACATGATTATATATTATGCTCTGCAGCTGTCAGAATGCTAAAAAAAATGTTGTGCATCCAGTGTAAACTGCTGCTGTACAAAGGGTATTTATAAATGTGCACACTGGGAAGGCATGCAAACAAGGGGCTACTGGAACTGCCTTGCTGCTTCCCTGTATTTTGTGATTACCATGAAATCAATTATGTATATAAAGAAAGGAAAAACAAGAGCATTTTCTAGTTGCTTCTCTGAGACATACACACAAGATCACATTTAAATAGGCTTTCGGTTAACTTCTTCCCAACTACATTTTTTTTTATTCTATGGGAGAGATTGAAATGCATATGCCATTGTGTGCAGTAAGTGTCTCTCCTACGCCTAGCACTTCAGATGGTAAACACTTAAGAACACTGAAATTAGAATCATGACAGACCTAAAGCACTTCAAAGGAGATAGTATGACCTAGAATATAAGTTTCAATATTGAGCAATTTTTTTAAAAAAGGAAATTGCATGTGGCTCAGGAAACAAGTGAGATATTTAGCTCTCACTGACCCCAGGACATTGCCAATTGTGGCAGGAATTGGAATTAGTGTCTGTAAAAAAATAAAAATCAACCTACAATAAATCCATAAAAAATATGACTGACTTGCATGTGATTGGTTTGCTACTTTTATTAAGTCTTCTTCACTGGCTCTTAATTTTATCTAGAAGAGCAACAACTATAGATCCAAACTCACATGTCTCTGGGATTTTGTGTTTACTGAATACTGACAAATCCATTTGTTGCTTTAATTAAGAGCTGACAAACAGCTCTTTGAGCACAGAAGTGCCCTGTAAAGGGAATTATAACTTGCAATGTAAATGGAGTATACTTAATTCTGGCACAAGAGGCCTGATTGCTGACTATGGAGGCAGACTGAAATAGTAGACAAACAGAGAAGTGATGATACTTTACAGTTTGTATCTAGCTCTCTCCTGCAAGGGTATAAACTCTTCTTTTGCTATTCCCACACAAACTGGTGAAAAGAGACAACAGCATGTATCATTAACCCCACCTGACTAACAAAGTTTGAATCACCTATCTGGAGTTAATGGCCCCAGGTGACTAAAGGAGACT